GATCTCTTGACCTCGTGATCCACCCGCCTCGGCCTCCCAAAGTGCTGGGATTACAGGCGTGAGCCACCGCGCCCGGCCTGTGATTTTGTATTTCAAGGATGTTGTGTGCACGGGGTCGTGGGTGGATGGCCCTTTGGGGTTGACTGTTTTCACTTAGTGTGAATCCCTGGAGCGTTATCAGTTCCGCCAGTCAAGTTTGTTCCTTTTATTGCTGAGTGGTATTTTGTGGCTTGGCTGGCCCACTGCTTGTTTAACCATTCACCTGTTGAGAGACACCTGGGCTGCGTCTAGCTTTTAATTGTTAGGAATAAATGTTGCTCTCAACAGTCATGTGCAGGTTTTTGTTGAACGTAAGTTTTCATTTGTCTGGGATAAATGCCCAAGAGCACAATTTCTGGATCACAGGGTACTTACAGATTCAGCCTCATTAAAACGTGCCTGTTTTCCAGAGTGGCCATACGGTGGTTTTTGTTCTTTTAAATGGCTTAACAATGGAAGGAAAGACGCTTCTGCAGGGCCTGACATAGAAAGCCCATGGAGACCCGCCCTGTGGGTGGGGAAGCGGGTGACGGGAGCCCCACTGCTTACCAGAACCCTGGTAAAACTGGGTCTTTCCAGTCCCAAGAGTCTCCTTTTTTGTTAAAAGCATCAGAAGACATGAGAGCATTTCTACCGCCCACGTTTCGGGAACACTGTTGGCTTTTACTTTGTAGTCTGGAGAGAGGTTTGCTTTTCCACTGTCATGTAAATCCTGTCGGTTTTCAACAGAGCCTGATCTTTAGGGTCTTGTGTGAAGCTGTCGGTCTGGAGATGCAGATCACTGTCTGCTGAAATGAAAGGAGCCTCCTACTGGCGTTAGGGATCTCCTCATTGAGGCAGGGATCCAAGGGCTTCTTTCTTTGTTCTCCGATTCCCTGAGCCTCTTCCCTGTGTGTATGGTGCGTGTGCACTTCTGTGATCGCACTGGGAACTATGACAGCAATAAGTGGGTATGACTGGGGGTGGGGAGCGGAGGCAGCATGGCCAGGAATCTATACTTCAGCTACCAAGAGGAAGGAAGTAGCAGCAAAAATAGATTGGGTGGGGTGGTAGAAAATATTAAGGGGAAAATGAGATGCCTGGGGTGGAGCTGAAGAAGAGCTGCTTAAAGAGAAATGGGGACACACACTGGGTAAGGAATCAAGTGCTGTTGAAACAGTACGGAAGGCAGCGGCGGCTAGGCTGTGGTAGAGGAAGCCGATCATGAGTGAGTGGAAAGGGAACTAGGGTACCGATGCGTTTGTGGCTTTTATTTTCTTTAAACATACTCTGGCTAAGTTTTGCTAGGAGTTTTTTGCCTTTTTTCTCAGACCTTCCACTTCTTTCTTTATCCCCTAAGTTTTGGGCAGACGGATTCTTTTCTGCCTACCAGTGTAGCCTGTCATTGCTTGAAAGGGCAAAATGAAACCCCCGCTGGGCAAAATACGTCTCCCCTTCCCCCAGCTTTTGGTCGGCTTTGCTCATCCACCAACAGCTGGATGATAGAAGGCTCTGAAGAGCTGGGATGGGCATGGGAGAGAACCAGAGTAGCTGGAAACAGTTAATTCCCAGGGTCTCTTCGGCTTGCTGGTTGGACCTCTAAGCCAGCTTATGGAGCCTGCATTGACATCATGCCAACTGGTCTCCTGCTGATAAAAGTGATTCTTTAACTTCCTCTGGAGCAGCAGAAACTTGTTTTGAAAAAAATCGAATTCTTAATTGTGACAGCTGTTTATTTCTGCAAGCACAATGGCTGTAGTAAGGAACTCGAGTCACAGTGCAGCCCTGGCAGGGAGGGCTCTGCATGGAGTCATAGGACAAAGCCTGTCCTGGAAACGTGCTGGAAGGAAGTCAGCCTCACTCTTTACGATGGGTAGCAGCATCCAAATGAGAAACCAGGGGTCTTGGCTCTGGGTCTGTAGCATCTGCTTGGCATGCGGTGCCAGCCGTGGAGACCAGTGAGGCAGCAGCAGATGCAGCGGGCTCCTGGGGTGCGTGTGGGGACCTCCAGGGTCTGCCTGGGAACTGATAGACTTTCGTTTCTCATCATCTTGTGTGTTCCTTGCAGACACAGAATGTTCAGCTTAACAAAGAAATGACACTTGCCAGCAACCGGAGCCTGGCAGAAGGAAACCTTCTCTACCAGCCACAGCTGGACACGTTGAAAGCACACTTGACCCAGAAATACCAGGAACTCCAGGTTCTCTTTGAAACCTATCAGATAAAGAAGACCAAATTAGGTAACTTTTTATGGGTAATCATTCAAGAATAAAGAGTTGAGAGAAGGACACATTTTCAAGCTATTGCCCTGCCAGGAGAGAAATATTATGGAAAAATTTCAGATTAAAACAGTGACTCCACTGCAATGAAGTAGAGTCATTGAAATATGTATATTATTTTTTTATTTTAGAGACAGGGTCCTGCTCCGTCACTGAGGCTGGAGTGCAGTGGCATGACCATGGCTCACTGCAGCCATTCGACCTCCTGGGCTTAGGTGATCCTCCCGCCTCAGCCTCCTGAGTAGCTGGGACTACGGGTGTGCATTACCCCAAGCCAGCTACTTTATTTCATTTTTTTGTAGAGAGGTCATCTTGCTGTGTTGCCCAGGCTGGTCTTGAACTCAAGAAGCCATCCTCCTGCCTTGGCCTCACAAAGCACTGCTCTTGTAGACGGGAGCCACTGTATTGACCAGTTTATGTATAGAATATGGAAGCCCCAGACCTGCGGCCTCTCTGCACTTGCAGTTCTGAAGGACGGGGTGCATAGCAGGACTGCCCCCTCCTCCCAGTGGCCCTGCAGTGGCGGTGGCTGCGGAGGTCAGCCCAGGCCCATGCACACCTCCAGGTTCTGCAGCGTGGAGCAGGTGGCAGCAACGTGGGCACCTTGGGGCAGTTACTGGAAAAGGGGTTGGGGATTAGGAGGAAGCCAGCCAGTTCAGCAGTCACCAGCTTAGAAGAGGAGGGTTAACCACTCTTAAAATTCAAGACTCCACCTTCTCTAAACAGCATAGAAAGAAAGCAGTTTTCAGAAGTACAATATTCAACAAATCTCTTATGCTGTATGCCCATTTGTCTTATGCTGTTTGTTAATGGTGAAAAACACCCATCACTGGAACACTTTAATGACACACTTTAATTTACAGCCACTAGGAGGAGACATCAGAATTGAATATCGTTGAGCATGCTGAGTGCTTTTGATAGCTATCAAAGGGACATTTAGAAAAAGGGAAGTTGGAGCTGAGTGTGGTGGCACACGCCTGTGGTCCTAGCTTCTTGGGAGGCTGAGGAGGGAGGATTGCTTGAGCTTTGGAGGTTGAAGCTGCAGTGAGCTGTGATTGCACCCCTGTACTCCAGCCTGGGTGACAGAGCAAGACTATGTCTCTACAAAGAAATGAAATAAATTAGCCAGGAGTAGTGCTAGTCGTCTATAGTCCCACCTACCCTGAAGATCGAGGCCACCATGAGCTGTGATTGCATCACTGTACTTCAGCCTGGGTGACAGAGTGAGACCCCATCCCTTAAAAAAAAAAAAAAAAAAAGAATTTGGGTGAAAAAATCACCTTCTGCAGCAGCGATGTCTGTCACTATTGCTATCATCTTGTCATCTTCTCCATTAACTTTATTAAAAATGTACTGCCACACACCCAAACCAGGATGACCTAAAGTAGAAAGACCAGCAGTCGCAAGTGCTGGGGAGGTGCCATGCGTCTGCTGCTGGTAGGAGTGTCCCTGGGTCATTTGGGACTTAGAGCGCGCCACTGCAGCCGGCTCCTTTTCCGTTTCACCTGGAGAAAGTTGTTGGGTAGTACCTTCTAAAATTAGGAGTGTGCATACGCTGCAGGTCAGCGGCTCTGGTCCTGAGTGTTCACCCAAAAGCAATGGACATTCGTGTCTCAGAAGATAGGTACAAGAATGTTGTATCTTTATTACCTTACTTAAAATTTGGAAACAATTAAAATGTCCATCTACAGAGTGATGGGCAAATAAAGTATATTTATACAATGGAACACTACACAGCATTGAACAGACATGAACTGATACACAGACCAGAGCCAGGGTGTCAGAGACGCAGTGCTGAGTGGAAGGATCCAGCAGAGTATGTCCTATACTGCCTTATTGCAGGATGTCAGTTCAAGACCAGGCGGAGCTCCTCTGTGGTGGTGGAGGCCAGCATAGGGGTTACCTGGCAGGTGCAGCGGGCATGATGGTGTCCGGAGGAAGCGTTCTTTGTCTGAATCAGAGTGGTGGTGGTTGGGGGTTAAACACATGGAAATTTGAGTTACACAGTTAAGATGTGTACACTCGATGTAAGTTATCACTCAAAACGTAAAGGAAATACAAAGTGGCATGATGGCCCTGTCACTGGTCCATATTCGGAAGCAGCTGGCTCTGGGCAGCCGCTAACCCCGGGGTGCTCCGACATGGGATGTTGACTCCAGGCACTGGCTCAGTGCACTTGTTCCCTTGTAGGTTTTCAGGCATCAGCTTCCTGGAAAGGAAGATGCGATTCTACTGTGGTCTGTGTGGGCGGCGTTGTGAAGGGCTTTACCTGGACACCCCTTACTCTTTCTTTTTTTTTTTTTTTTTTTTTTTTTTGAGAGACGGAGTTTCACTCGTGTTACCCAGGCTGGAGTGCAATGGCGCGATCTCGGCTCACCGCAACCTCCGCCTCCTGGGTTCAGGCAATTCTCCTGCCTCA